CGGCCGAGTCCAGGCCGCGGCGACCCCCAGGCTCCATACGAACGCTGGCTGGGGGGCGCGGCCACCGCAGCCGCTGCCGGGAACCGCCCCCGCACGCCAGCCCCGCCCCGAGCGGAAGCGAACGGCGTGCGCCTGCGTAGAGGGTAGCTCCACGAGGCTGCGCGGCGGTGGTCCGGGAGAGGCGGGCCCCGTGCGCAGCCGCAGTTTGGGCCCGGGACGCGGAGCTGACGGCGTGCGCCTGTGGAGCGTGAGAGACGCGCCAGCTTTGTTGTGGTAATGAGGATGCTTTATGTTTCCATGGACGGGAGGGTTCAGTAAAGAGCTTCACCAAAGAGTATGCCCCCCTCCGCCACCCCCCCCCCCCGCCCCGGGTGGCGGCTGCCCAGCCTGGGAGACTCAAGACTTAGGCTCTAGTGGCCTCTGAGTGACGTGGAGTAGGTTCCTCTGGCCCCTCCAAACTTCGGCTTGCCCGTTGGAAAAGCAGCGGAAATAATGTAGACTAATCTCAGAGAGCTGTGAGGATCCTGCAAATGCTTCCTGAGCCCGAGGGGAGGTTACAGTTGCCTGGAATAATTAATAATAAGCATGTAATGAATAAACGTGATAAATCAGAAACATACAATAAACAAGAGAAGAACACGATAAATAAAATAATACGGTGACAAGTGGTAGAAGAAAGGCCCTGTTTCCAGATGAAAACTAAGGCCGGGAGTGAGCTGCTCTTTTGGAAGCTTGGGAGAGGTGGCATGTGGACTGAGAAAGTTGAGATATATATATATGGCGGAAACTTTCTGAACAAACTGAGTAATCAGGGAGATAAGCAGGAGGCAGGATCGATCATTCAGGACCTAAAAGGCCCTGGCAGAGCTTTAAGGTTTTATTTTGAGTGCAATGAAAGGAATTAAGCAGTGCATGACGCCAAATAGTGTGTATATTGATCACTTGGCACAGGGACTGACATATGGTAAGTACTTAATATTAATTATGGTTATTAGCCCCTCTTATTAGGAACTTATTTCAGTTCCTACTCCTCTCTCGGTCTGAGATTTTGATGAAAAATCTTAATTTAGTTGTGCAGGTTGCTAAATGGCTACATCTGTTGGATTTGATCTTGCAAAGTTTGTCGTGTGAAAGGGCACCGTTTAGGAAAGAATGAGATACTGAAATTTAGACTGGAGATATGTGGTTGGAACCAGATGAATCTGAAAAGCTTGAGCCCCCCCACCCAAGTCACTCTGAGCCTTCTTTGCCTCTAGAAGTAATTTGCCTTCTTGTATCCAAGGAAACTAGCCTCCCTGTGCTTCCTGAAGTTTGCGTGGTTAACCCATCTGGGGTAGGTGCTTTGAAGAGGAATACTCCTGTTTCTCAAGACCCATCGAAACCACTCACTTTTCTCTAGATAGATAATGAGGGTAAAATCTCAGCATACTCCAGGGGGCAGGTAGATACTATGACCTCAGAGAAAATTGCTTACACAGCAAAAGAATTGAAAGACTGCTAATATATAATCAGCATACCTTGGAAATGTATAGGGTAGAAAATTTTAAGTGTGTCAGATTAAGGAGGGAAGACTATAACACTAGATTAGGCAGAATTCACCAATAGGAATGCACTTACTAGGTTCCAGATGGAATGTGTTTGCTTTGGAGAGCCAGAGGTGGCTTTCATAGCTTAACTGGTTGGTTGACTGAAACATGGACTCAGAGGTTTCTTGGCATAATTTGATTATCTTGGGATGTCAGAGGTTTCCTGGCATAATATGAAGAAGGGAGTCCAAAGCTTGAGAAAATAAGAGTGTTACAGTGGATTTATGATGTATGACCTGCATGCCTAACCCCCAAATACATCCCATAAGAATGCCTGGAAGGCACTACCTTAATTAGGCATTGAAGACTATGTTAGTGGGAGAAGCACTTACATTCTTTCTTTCTTTTTTTTTTTTTTTTTTTTTTTAAGTTTATTTATTTTGAGAAAGAGACAAAGCATGACTCCGGGAGAGGCAGAGAGAATGAAGAGAGAGAGAATCCCAAGCAAGCTCTGCTTTGTCAGCATGGAGCCTGACATGGGGCTCGAACCCATGAACCGTGACATCATGACCTGAGCTGGAGTCAGAGGCTTAACTGACTGAGCCACCCAAGAGCCCCACACTTAATATTCTTGAAGAGGCTTGTGATTGTTCTCTTTTGTAGGCTGGGTGTAGCTCTGGGTGATACTGCTTTTGAGGTGATATCCCTAGTTTAAACAGAGGTAATAAGATCCCAGATTATTAGAGGCCAGATGGCACCACTTTGACATCAAAGACAAGGTGGGCACATTTACTGTAAGAGGTAACCTGTACCAGTGATCAGAATGCCTTGGCCTTCAGGAATCTTTTACTATGGCTAGTTGACTATAATATCCCTAGGAATGAAATAACCTACTAGAGTATTGCTTGTGTTATATAACAGAAAAAACTCTAGATTTGGTACCCAAAATCCTAACTTGATTTGCTATAGGAGAATCACAGCCTCTTACCCAATACTAGACACAAATCAATTCACAAACAGAGCCCCTTGACTCAAGGGGAGTCTAGGTAACCTTAGGTGGAATCTTGAAGCATTCGCATGAGTATATACCATAAGTCTTCCTCCAAACTTTCCCCTGTGGAGCCTGCAACTGTTATTAGAATGGGAATTATGAAAAAGGAAATACCCAGATCTTTGGAGAATTATTAGACACTGGCTTCAGATTGACACTAATTCATCGGAGCTCAAAATGCCACTGTGCACCATCAGTAAAAATGGAGCTGTACTGGTAATCCTGAGTACTGTATACTTGATGCAGTGATTTTCTAGGACAACTCATCAGACTCAGTATATAGTCATACACCTATAGCTGAGATTTATTACAGGAAAATGACACAAAGCAAAATCAGCAAAGTGACTTGCATGGGACAAAGTCTAAAGGAAAATAGTAACGAACCTCCAAGTGTCCTATCCCAGTGGAGTCACACAGGATATAATTAATTTCTCCAGCTGTGAGTTATGACACGTATGAAATGTTTACCAGGGGAGATCGTTAGAGACTTAGTGCCCATCTGTCACCTAACTACCCTAACTACTGTGCAGAGAAGAGTTAACATAGCAGGCCTGTTATCCTTTGAAAGGTCTGCTTAAAATGTTGTCCCTTGGGACAGCTGCATGCAGAAGAATGAGACAGGATCATTTTCTTACACTACATACAAAAATAAACTCAAAATGGATTAAGGATCTAAATGTGAGACATGAAACCATAAAAACCCTAGAAGAAAGCGTCCATGACAAAGTAGCAAGAGTTGCAGAGATGGAGGCTATACACAGGCTCAGTAGCATGGTTTTACTCTTCAGTGCATCTTCAATGCCTGATATGCCAACAGCAAAGACCAACATTTAATTCCCGCTATGCTACCATTCCCTGGGGGATCAGTCTGCTGTAAGATTGACCGTTATCAGAACTCTCTTATTATGGAAGGTGCAGAGATTGATCCTTAGTGGAATAAACTGATATGCTACGTACGTATTTGCCTTCTCTGTTCATGATGCTTCTGACAACACCACTGTCCATGGCCTCACAGCATATCTTCTCTTCCTTTGTGGTATTTCACATAGTATTGCTCCTGATCAGTGTACTTGTTTCACTACCAAGGAAGTAAAGCAATGGGGTCATCCTTATTGAATTCACTGATCTTAGCACATATCACATCGCCAAGAAGAGGCTGGCCTAATTGAATAAATAATGTCTTATTGAAGGTTCAATTACAGTGTTAGATACCCTAAAAGAATGGAGTTCTGTCTTAAAGCATATAGTATATGCTTTGAATTAGAGACCATTATATGGTGCTGTCTCCCCCATATCCAGAAGACATAGTTTAGGAATCAAATTGTGAAAGTGGGAATAACTCCTCTCACTTGCACCTAGTAACTCACTTAGTTCATTAGTGCCATCTCAGCTACTTTGAACCCTGTGTTTTGAGGTCTTTGATCCTAAGAGGGCAATGCTTCCACTATGGGACCTCACAAAGGTTCTGTTGAATTAGAAGATGAGACCACCACCTGGCCACTTTGGCCTTATGCCACTAACCCAGGAAGAAGAAGGGGTTATTCTACTGGCTAGAGTGATTGACCGATTCTGATTACCAAGGAAAAATTGGGTTGTTGTACAATGGCATGAAGAAAGACTGTATGTAGAAAACCACACAACATACAAACAAACAAAAATAGAACTATTACAGAATCATTACTTGCATCATTCCATGAAGTGAATAACTCTGACCAGTTGATGTTTTAGCAGAGGGCAAGTGAAATTCAGCTCAGTCCATGGTCTCATGGTTCATAGAATCGAGCCCTGTGTTAGACTTTATGCTGACAGTGTGGAGCCTGCTCGGGATTCTCTCTCTTCTCTCTCTCTCTCTGCCCCTTCCCCACTTGTGCCCTCCCTCTCTCTCAAAATAAATAAACTTTTAAAAATATTTTCAAAGTTAAAAAAAAAGATATAGGACACAAAGAAGAAAGCCATAGATATATCAACTATGACCTTATGTCCAGTTACAGATGTGAGGACTGTTATGATTATTTGTATATGCTATCCTTCTGTCTTCTTCTTCCAAGGATAATTATATATGTGAGTGATGGAGGTTAACCTTGCAATTTAGTCTTTAGGTAGCATAATATTCAATGTGATTGTGACTAAAATTGGGGAGCAATTAATATAGTCAGTAATAGATACAGTGATGGGGCGCCTGGGTGGCGCAGTCGGTTGAGCGTCCGACTTCAGCCAGGTCACGATCTCGCGGTCCGTGAGTTCGAGCCCCGCGTCCGGCTCTGGGCTGATGGCTCAGAGCCTGGAGCCTGTTTCCGATTCTGTGTCTCCCTCTCTCTCTGCCCCTCCCCCGTTCATGCTCTGTCTCTCTCTGTCCCAAAAATAAATAAATGTTGAAAAAAAAATTAAATAGATACAGTGAATATTGAGACTGTGTCCTTTTTGTTAGGTGGAAAATCATATGGAAACTGAAATATGAATGGAAGGATGTATTTGGACAAAGGATGGACAAAATTATTGATTGATCTCAGTTCCAAACCCAAATATACATATAATTGTCCTGCTCTGTGATACTAGAGCAGAACCCTGTCAAAATTTCTCCTTTACTAGATGGTCTAATGTTAATCTTTTTTAGTAGAAGGTGCTGAGGGACTAATGTGCTTTTCTCTCTTCTTGTTCCTGTGGTATGTGGCAGCCAAAAGAGTATGAAATACCTACTGGTGCTTAGCCCCAGCAAGTTTCAGTGCCACCAATGCAAGCAGCAAATTCCACTGACATCCCAGCTGGTTTCCAGGTGAACCTCCCAGGTGCCATAGCAAGTAATTTCCTAGCCATTTCCACGGACACACTCCTGGTGGCTTCCCAGTGAGTTTCATCAGTGTCTCAACCAAGGGCAATAGGTAAGTAGAAGATATAAAGACATCCAAATTTGTTATAGAGAGAAATAAAACTGTCTATATGTCATAGACCACCTGGTCATCTATATAGAAAATACTAAGAGGTCTGTAAGAAATCTACTAGAACTAAAAGCTTAATGAGATTACAAAATACAAGGTCAATGTACAAATAAGGAATTTTCTTTATATATCCTAGCAATGAATAATTAGAAACTAGAGTTTAAAAAGAAAATCGTTAGGAAAACATTAAATATGAAATAAGGATAAAGTTGACTAAAAATGTGCAGAGAGAAATCCTCTTTGGACCTGTTGAATTCCTGTGCTTCTTAGTGGGCACACCAAGGTGGTAAACCTCTAACCATTCTTTTCTTTCTTTTCTTTTTTTTATTTTTTTATTTTTAAAAATGCTTTATTTATTTTTAAGAGACAGAGAGAGAGAACGAGCAGGGGAGGGCAGATAGAGAGGGAGACAGAGGATCTGAAGCAGGCTCCATGTTGACAGCAGCAAGCCTGATGTAGGGCTTGAACTCACGAACCACAAGATCATGACCTGAGCCAAGGTCAGACACTCAGCCGACTGGGCCACCTGGGCACCCCACCATTCCTTCATTTGTGTCATTTTCTCAGAGCTGATTATACAGTTGGTAACCTTGAAAGATGAGGTAATGTCCTTTCACTTATCAAAGGTAAAGCTTACTTTGTCCTTACCAACAAGCTGAGTGTTTCTGAGTTGTGATTAAAAAACACTATCTGTGTGGAATCCATATGGGTCTGCTGCATCACTCTCCTGAAATATGGAAGCAAGAGAAATTGGCATAAACATGCTGGTGTTTTTGCTGTTTGTTGCGTCATGAGTAATAAAGTATTTTGTCTCTTATGCAGGGGTCTCATGTCCTTTGTTGGCATCTGTGAAATGGTAATAGGCTAACTTAATTTTTAAATTGCATAAGATCAAACTTAACACCCAACAAAGACCTATACACTGAGAGATATGAAAATGGACCTAAATAAATGGAGAGATATACCATGAACATGAACTGGAGACTGAATATTGTTAAGATATTACTCTCATTTGTAGTATACTACATTGAAACACAACTGCCTGACATTAGAATGGCTACAGATGAAAAGAGTTGGAGGGATATGGAATAATAATTCCAATGGGAATATGAAATGCCACATCCATTTTGGAAAGAGATGGGCAATTTCTTTAAAAAGTTAAACAGTTAAACATACACCTACCATGTATACTTCAATTATACTCTGAGATATTTACACAGTATATATGAGAGTGTATATCCAAATGAGTTTTGTACACAGATGTCCATACAAACTTTATTTGTAGTAGCCACAAACTGGAAACAATCTATCCATCAAAAGGTGAACTTGCTAAACAAATTGTGGTAAATCCATACAGTAGAGTTCTGCTTAGCAATAAGGTACTATGAATTCATACCACAATATGGATGAATCTCAAAATAATTATGCTGACTGAAGAGATAAGATGAAAAGGAATACACGTAGGATTTCATTCATGTAAAGATTTCACAGAACTCTTGTTTCACCTCCAACATGTAAAGAGCTTGGAAGTTGACACTTCCATTCTTACCATAAGTAAAAAAATATGGAGAAATTGAAACAAATAACTTTTAATGGAGACATCTGAAAATTGATGTCACAGGGTAAGCCATCACCTGGGAATCTGGAGAGAGCCTAATACAGACACAGGTTAATACCAGCAGAAGTTGCTGGAACTAGTAACCTGCAGGAACACTTCCATTGTAATTTTGATGAATTATTGGAGGTTGACAGTTGACTGGCATGAGAGTTAAATCTTGGGGGCCCAGTCTCAGGGATACCCATACTCTCATGGTATTTACCAACAGAAGCTCCACGCCAGATTTTTATGGTGAGGATTTGAGAAAAGTCCCTGTATGTTTTCAGCAGGGAGAGGAGAAAATTTAAAAATTAACACAGGAAAATTAACCATTTTGAAATACACTGAGGGTATTGTCTATAACAAAGGTTTATTATCTAAGGTAAGCTACCAGAGCCTTATCTGACTTGAAAAAGGACAATTAAACAACTCTAGCACCCTCTAACATTTTATTTCACACAAAAGGAGGGGGAAAGAAAGGGGGGCCAACATATGCTTCCAAAAGTCATAATCCAAAGACTCAAACCCACTAAAGCATTGAGATTTAATCATAAGGTTATAGAATGTTTTCCCTCTCCTACACCTTATGAAAATATCAACAAACCTTCAGTAAGAGTGCATTACAACTGCGAAACATGTAAGACATACACCCTATTTAAGGACTTTCTAAGGAAACCCAAATATAGCAGGAAAAACACAACAAACAAAAAAAACCACGGGAACTTACAGCCTCTGGAACTTACAGCCATAAACACATTAAATACAGCCTAATTCCTAGCAACATTAATATAAAACCTCACTTTAAAAGCCTAATCACTTGAGCTTCTATTCCCCAATACGTACATGCCTGGCTTTTGACAAAAATTTAAAATGCATGCTAAAGGGCAAGAATGAACAGTCTGAAGAGACAAGCGTCAGAACTAGGCTCACGTATGACACAGGCCTTATAATTATCAGAGGACTTAAAGTAACTATGATTAATACATTAAGGACTCTTATGGAAAGTAGACAACATGCAAGAACAGAGGGACAAGGCAAGCAGAGATGAAAACTCTAAAAAGGAATTGAAAGGAAATGATAGAAATCAAGAACATTATAATAGAAATGAAGATTGCCTTTGATGTGCTTATCAGTAGATTGAACTCAGCTCAGGAAAGAATCCTTGAGTTTGAAGATAGGTCAATAAAAAATGCCCAAAGTGAAAAGCAAAGATAAAAAAATAATGAATTTTAAAAATATATCAGAATATTGAAGACCGTTGGGACAATTTCAAAAAGTATGTGATATGCATAATTGGAATACCAGAGGAAGAAGAAAGAGAATTATTATTTGAAGTAACAATGGTCTAGAATTTCCCAAAATGGATGACAGAGACCATACCACAAAAGACTCAGAGAACACCAAGCAGGATAAGTACTAAAAACCCTACATGAGCTGTATATTAAAAATGCAGAAAACCAAAGAACAACAACGACATTCAAGGGAATTTAATTGACATTTATGAAATACTTCATCTAGCATTGCAGAATACCCATTCATCTCAGGTTTGCATTGACATTCACCAAGAGGCCACATTCTGGGCCTTAATATATACCTTAACAACTTTAGAAAAATAAAAAAGTATGCACAATGGATTTAAACTAGAAATTGATAACAAAATTACCAGATTTTCAACACCCTTGAAAATAAACAGCATACATTTTTTTAAGTTTATTTATTTATTTCAAGGGAGTGGGGGCAGAGAGAGAAGGAGAGAGAAAGAATCCCAAGCAGGCTCCATACTGTCAGCGCAGATCCTGACATGGCTCAAACCCACGAACTGAGATCAGGATCTGAGCCAAAGTTAAGAGACGCTTAACTGAGCCACCCAGGCACCCCTAACAACATACTTTTAAGTAGCACATGGGTCAGAGATGAAGTCTTACAAGATATTAAAAAATATTTTCAACTAAATAAAAATGCAACTTCTCAGAATTGTGAAATAGAACAATTGTGGCACTCAGAGGGAAATTTGTAACATTCAATGCATGTATCCGAAGAAAGATCTAAAATCAACAATCTAAGCTTAACATTTTAGGACACTAAAGGAAGAACAATTTTAATTTCTTTCTTTGGAACCAATTTTCTAATCCATGTCACATTCTCTTTTCTTGAAGAACGTCCTTTCACATTTCTTATAAATGTAGGTCTGCTGGCACTGAATTCTCTATATTGTATGAAAAGGCTTGATTTTCCTTCCTTTTTATTTATTTGTTAAACTTTTTAAAACTTTCCTTCCTTTTACTTATTTTTTAAACTTAACTTTTTAAAAAGTTTATTATTTTGAGAGAGAGAGAGGGAAAGAGAGCACTGTCAGTACAAAGCCCAATGTGGGACTTGAACCCACAAACTGCAAGATCATGACCTGAGCTGAAGTTGGATGCTTAACTGACAGCTATCCAGGTGCCCCATTATCACTTTACTTATTTTAAATGATCCTCTTCTGAATTTATCTCCTACATATTCTCAAGGTGCTTCTTGACATTTGTTACCTTTAGATCAATCATACCCTGAGGAATTTAGCCAAGGGGATTTATGGTAACTTCTCACATACTTCACCTTTTAGCCAAATGCCCTTTAAGTAGACCTGTTGCCAGTGGATTTCTAACTCTGAACATATTCAAGGAGTAGAACTTTTTTGTTTGTCTCACCTTTAAAATTTTACTTCATCCCTTAGAATCCTGTTCATAGGTTTTTGAGAAACCCTATTGAATGGATTTCACAGTACATTCCCGTGTTTGTTTGCTTGTTTCTTTCATGTTTGTTTGTTTATGTATTTATTTATTTTGAGAGAGAGAGCGCGCAAGCAGGGGAGGGGAAGAGAGAGAGAGAATCCCAAGCAGCTCTGCACTGTCAGCACAGATGTAGGGCTCAAACTCAAGAACTGTGAAATCATGACCTGAGCCAAAATCAAGAGTCAGAGGCTCAACCGACTGAGCCACCTAGGGGCCCCTTTTCCTTCACTTTTAAAAAGTATAGAATTCTGGTATGGCATGTGGGTTTTTCTTCTTCCAGCACTTAAAAGATTTCACTCCATGTTTTTTCATCCCTTGTGTTTTCTAATGAAAAGTTGTTGTAACTCTTCAACCTCTGGGTAATTTGCCTTCTTTTCTGTGGCTGCCTTTAGGATTTTTATCTTTGTCTTTTATGTTCAGCAGTTTGAATACGGTAGGTCTATTTTTTTTTTTTCTATTTTGGTATTAATATTGCTTGATATTCTCTGAGTTTCTTGGATCTGTTGTTTGGTATATCTCCAATTTAGGAAAATTCTCAGCCATTATTTTTCAAATATTTCTTCTGCCCCATTCTCTGTCTTCTACTGCTGGGACTCCAGTGATACATAGACCCATTTATTATTGCCCATCAGACTTTGAATGGTGTGTTCTGTTTATTATTTTTTTCTCTTTTTTCTTTTTGCGTTTCAACTTGGGTAATCTCTATTGATCTGTCTTTAAGTTCAATGTTTCTTTCCTTGGCTGTGTTTCGTATGCTGATGAATTTGATAAAGGCAGTCTTCATCTACTGTGTTTTGATGTCTAGATTTGCATTCATTTCTGTCTTATAGTTTACATATCTCTGCTGAAGATGTATATCAAGTCTTAAATGTCTACCTTTTCCATTATAATCTTTAACATATTTATCTGTTATTTTAATTCCTTATTATGATAGATTCAACATCTGGGTTATGTCTGGGCTTGGTTATGATGATCATTTTGTCTCTTCAGACTTTGTTTTTTCTTTAAAACAACATTCTTAAAAGGTAATTCACATATTATACCATTCGCCTATTTAACACCTACAATTGAAGAGCTTTTAGAATACTCATGGGATAGTGCAGTCATCACCACAATCAATTTTAGGTTAGGGATGTCTGGGTGGCTCAATTGGTTAAGAGGTCGACTCTTGATTTCAGCTCATGTCATGATCTCAGTGGCTCGTGGGACGATCTCCACACTGACAGAAAGGAGCCTGATTGGGATTCTTTCTCTCCTCTCTTTCTGCTCCTCCCCTGCTCTTCCTTCTCTCTCTCAAAATAAATACATAAATTTAAAAACACAAAACTTACTTACATCTTAGTAAGACAACCTGTACATCTTAGACATCACCCTGCAAATCCCCAACCCTCCTAGGCCCCAGGAGGCTACTAATCTACTTTCTACCTCTATGTATTTGCCTATTCTAGACATTTCATAATAAGTAGAATTATGCAATATGTGTTCCATTGTGACTAGCTTCTATTAATATTGATTTCAAGGTTTGTCCTTATGGTAGCATGGATGCCAATGACATTCATTGTGTGGATAGACCACATTTTATTTATCCATTCATTGATTAATAGACATTTGGGTTTGTTCCAATTTGGGGATAATACAGGTTTAATACTGCTATGAACATTTGTGTACAAATTTTTGTGTATATACATGTTTCTGTTTTTCTTGAAGTAGAATTGCTCGTGGTAACTCTATGTTTAAACATCGGAAGAACTGTCAAACTGTTTTCAAAAGTGGCTATATTGTTTTATATTACCACCTGCAGTGGATCGAAGTTCTAATTTCTCCATGTCCTCAAACATTTATTAGTTAATGGTAGTTGTGTGGATTTACATTTTCCTCATGGTCAACACTGTTGCGCATCTTTTTATGTGCCTTTTTGCTGTTTGCATATCTTGTTTGGAGAAATGTCTGTTCAGGTACTTTGTCCATTTTTAAATTGGGTTGTCTTTTTATCATTGAATTGTAAAAGTTCCTTATATATTCTAGATGTAAATCTCTTATATGGATTATTATTATATCTCCGTGTGGATATGTGTATTATTAATATCCTATTCTACAGGTTGTCTTTTCACTTTCTTGATAGTGTTCTTTGATGAACAATAGTTTTTAACTTTGAGGATGTCCAGTTTATTTTTTGTCTCTTAATTGCTTTTGCTTCTGTTGTAATATCTAAAATGATTTGCCTAATCCATGGTTATGAATATTTATGCTCACTTTTTTTCTAAGAACTTTATAGGTCAGCTCTTCAGTTTAGGCCTTTGATCCATAGTGAATTAAATTTTTGTGTATTTTGTGAGAAGGGGAGGAAGGGGGTGGGCCATGTCTCAAATGTCAAGAACTCTTGCTGTTTGTATCAAATTTTTAGTAGATTTTTGACTAAATGTTTCTACATTGGTTTATGTAATTGTCCTTTAGGACAATTTCCTCAGACTGTAAATGGTTGAGTGTTTTAAATAGCTTTTACCAGTTATGCTTGTGTTATTGGGGAATGGGTCCATGGAGCTCCTCAAGCTGCCACTTTGGAAGTGGAACTCAGGCTCCATTTTCTTCTTGCTTTTCACATGTCCTGTAATATTTTTGTTAAATGCTTGGCATGTTGTATAGGACACTGGTTAGTGAGATAAATATAAATATATATGTGCATTTTGCTTATATACTTGGAGGTGAGCACAACTTTCCTTCTGCTGATCCTTCAGTGTGAAGGTGTGTGTTAATCTAGTCAGGAGCTTGACTGAGCTGGAAGTTTGTTGTTGCCCAGTTACCCTCAGTAATTACTTTGCTGGTTACCCTCTCTTTACCATAGACTTCATGGTCTTGAGTGCAGGGGTTCTCAGCTGAGGATGATTTTGCTTTCTGGGGGACATTTGGGACTGCCTGGGACTATTGCTACTAGCCTCTGGTGAGTAGAGACCAGAGATAATGCTGAACATCTTGCACCTCACAGGACGGCACCCACAACAAAAAATGATCCAGCACATAATGTCAGTAGTGCCAAAGTTAGGAAACACTACTCTAGAGCTACCTGAAATTCCACATAGTTTGCTAGAGGGTTTTCCTATTATATCTGCTGTCCTCTTGGCCAGCTTTGCACGGTCCCTCAGAGAGCATATTTCTCTTGGAATTCCTAGGTATATTCCACTGTTATTTCTACTTGGACGCGTGTTAGCTTGTGGGTGGCTGGCAGGGGAGGGGAGCATTCTCTGATGTTCTGACTATGTCTTAGCCAGGCTCTGTGAACCTGAGGCTTGGGGTGTGGCCTTCACAAGTGTTCACATTTTCATTCTGCTGTATGCTAGGCCTGACACCACATATTCTAGTTCCTCACTTAGGGAGAGAGATTTCTTTAATAGACTTTATTTTTCAGATCAGTTTTAGGTTAATAGAAAAAATAAATGGAACATAAAAAGTTCCTACATATCCCCTGCCTCCACACACGCAGAGCCTGCCCTATTATCAGTATCCTGTGCCACAGTTTATATTTGTTATAATCAATGAACTTGCATTGACCCATCATGGTCACACGAAGCCCATGGTTTACATTTTGTGTTGTACAGTCTGCGGGTTTGGACAAATGCATAAAGGCATGTATCCAGCATTATACTATCATGCAGAATATCCTCACTGTTCTATCAATCCTGCACACTCTACTTACTCCTGCTTCTCTCTTGGGGTAAAGTTTCTTCTTTGCTTCCTTCTTTCCTTCCTTTCTTTTTACCTCTTTTTTTTTTCTTGCTTAAAACACACACACACACACACACACACACACACAACACACACACACACACACACACACAAAAAACCCTTTTGTTTTTCTCAGCTACAAAGGGTTTTCTCTAATGCCCTAAGGTGACAATTTTGTTGCTCTTCTCCATTCGGATTTAGGCTTTTGTTCCACGGGAGAATTGTCAGTAGAGTTTCGCAGTGGCTACTTTTCTGATGTCTCAGGCAATACTGAGGTAGGAGAGGATGGAGATTCTCCCCAGTCTTTGGAAATACCTGGAAGAGTTTGTTGATGGAAACAAATTGATAGGAATCCCCCTGTGTATGGGTAGATCTTTATGCTAGCCACACTTGGCCTGTAGCAATTCATAAGGAATTTGTAGCTAACTTACATGCCACTCAGCATGATCCACTATATATGCATGGGTCCTTTTTCTTCCTGGAGGCACGTGTCTTTCCCAAGAGATACAGATTGGTTAGTTGTTTACCTGAGATCTCAATTCTCTCATGGGTTCAAGAAAAGCTATTCATTTAAAGTTTGTCTAACCTTTTGTTTGTAGAAAACAATGTTTTCTTCAAGGAAAACAAATGTTCCTTCCAGTTTCTACACTTCCAAGATGAAAATGGAACTTACTCCTTTTTTTTTTTTTTTTTTTACATTGCTTTAATTCTTTGACAACTGCTATTGAACTGCAGTCTGCAAAGAGCATCTAACTCCTGGCTTTAGTTTTATGTTCTGGGGTAACACTTTAGGATCCCACCCTCATGACCTCATTGTATCCTAATTACCTCCTAACAAGTACTATATCCAAAGAAAGTCACAATGGGGTTAAGGATTCACCATATGAATTTTGGGGGGCACACAAACTAGCATAATAAGAAACCCTGCCATGGAGAGATGCCTCAGTTTCCTTATTGATAAAATAGGGGAAATCATACCACTTATTACAGTGGGTTATTGTGAAGTTTAAATGCGTTAATAAGCACTTAGAACGGTGCTTAGAACAAAGCCAGCACTACGTAAGTGCTGGGTGCTATTAATTTGTCACTGTGGTCATTTTTGTTATTTAGCTGTTGTGTTATTTGAGTATCCTGATATGTCCTGATTTTCAAGTGCTTACCCCATACTTCCTATGGAATTAAATCTACAGAACTTAAAGGACTTGGCTGAGCAAAACATGAAGAGAAGTCTGTGCAGCCCTCCATGCAGAAACCACCAGCACCTTTAACAGTGCTGCAGACAGTGGCCTCTCCCTGGACAGCTTCTGACTGTATTTTCACACCAATGCAACACCAGCTATTTCTCCTCTTTGAGACTTGGTAGCACAAAGGTCACATGGATGTGTCTCCCCATCCTGCACTCTCTTACTCCTGGATTGGATTGTCTTTCCTTTGGGACACAGAACTGGCTTGCAGACGCTGAGCCCATTTGAGCGTCTTGCTTTGGGAAAGTCATCTGAAGTGGGAATGAAAAGACCATCTTCATTTTTACTGAGAAAGAAGACCAGTGGCCACGGTGTGGAAGGACAAGGCAACACACCCCAGAGCCGAGACAAACATGTCTTTCTCTGTATGAAGATTCAAATCATGGCACACAAGATTCATGGAAAGCACTTTCACAACTGAGGGACAGGAGAAGGGAAACTTTTTATTCACAGGTTTCTGGCATGTGGTGTGTAGCATGTACCTTCAAGAGAGAATTGCAAGGAAACAAAGGGATGAGTAAATTCAAGGTAGCAATTCTTTAAGATGTATATTTGTATAATAGATACATTCTGATAAGTTATATCTGTTTGATTTCTAGTTTTACAAATCAAAAATATTTCCCCTTTAGTTCACTGTTTTGTTTTTGAAATTGTTTATTATGTTTTGATTGCAGTTGAAGGCAGGTTTTTAACAAATGAGTTCTCAGTTTTTTACCTCTTTCAGGAGCTGATGCACTTAAGTTCACTAATAGAGTTCCTTATGGAGCTCTATGAAGCTAGATAGTGAACTCCCTTTCAAAGTAAAGGATGTCGTTGTAATATAATCCCCTTTGTGTGAGTTACTTGTGTAAGTAAGTAAGTAGCTCTCGATTTAATGGAATACTAACTGCCTAAATTATTGAGGTGAGTGAGGCAATGGATCTTGCTGCAGTTGCGTTCAGTGTAGGCTGTTCATCAGGGCCTTGGTACTTTGGTGGACCCATCTTAGTAAAGGCTGATCAGCATCAAATACTATTGTGAAAATAGCGAATCTTGTATTTGTATTATAGAATATTTGTATTATATAAAAATTCCCACAACTGACCATAGTGGACCAGAGAATGCAAATTTTACCTGTGGCCAGCAGATGGCAGTGTTCAACCCAATTCAGTTCACCTCCATAAGATTGCTGGCTTATTTATTTGGTTAGTTAAGTTTTTCCCGAGCACCTACCTCAAGCTGGTGGGGGTGTAGCAGTAAACAAAAACAGAACCACTAATAATGTCCAGTGAGTTTATTTGTTGTTACATACTATGTGTAAGATGAGAAGGCCTGTGAATAATCTCTTAAAACTACAGGATGTGGTCCTGTTGTCATCTTGGTGGATGGGAGAGTAGTCAGGAGGAACACACACAGGAACCAAGAACCATTATAAAAACAGAACTTAAAAAGGTCAGTAGAGTCACAGAGACGGATGGCAATGTTTCACTGGCAGTAACAATCTGTTTCAATAATGATCATAGGGAAGCAATTGATGTTTCAGGTCTGTTGTCTTATGTTTAGGGCTGTGGTCCCACAGTCCGTTACTGTAACCCTTAGGGCCAGATGTGTTTAGAAGTCATAATTTTGGGGGGGCGCCTGGGTGGCGCAGTCGGTTAAGCGTCCGACTTCAGCCAGGTCACGATCTCGCGGTCCGTGAGTTCGAGCCCCGCGTCAGGCTCTGGGCTGATGGCTCAGAGCCTGGAGCCTGTTTCCGATTCTGTGTCTCCCTCTCTCTCTGCCCCTCGCCCGTTCATGCTCTGTCTCTCTCTGTCCCAAAAATAAATAAACGTTGAAAAAAAAAAATAAAAAAAAAAAGAAGTCATAATTTTGGGGATTTTGGAAAAGTAATATGTTATATATTACCTAATACCCCCATTGTAAGCTGGGGAGCCCTGTAATCAAACACAGTCATACTTCTGCAATAAAATAAAATAAAAAATAAAATAAAATAACAGCTTTTGGTTTTCAGAGGTTTTTGAATGGCAGATAAATATTGTGGGTCTATATTATTCCATGACAAAAAAGAATTCAACCCCAAGTCTCTAGAAAACCATTCCAGTTTTTTTTTTGGAAAATGGATTCTCAGTCTATAGAAGTTTGTGAGAGTTTGATTTATATACAGGCATACTTGGTTTTATTGGAGTATACTTTATTGTGCTTTAACGACATGGTGTTTTTTTACAAATTGGTGCTTTGTGGCAACCCTACATCGAATAAGTCTGTTGGTGCCATTTTTCCAATAATATTTGCTCACTGCATGTCTCTGTGTCAGATTTTGGTAATTCTCACAATCTTTCAAACGTTTTCATTATTATTATACTTGAATTGTATATCAATGATAAAACTTTGCAATATCATGATATCATGATAAAACTTTGATGGATGAGGAGTTGCTTCTTATGGATGAACTAAGAAAGTGTTTGTTTTGTTTTGTTTTGTTTTGTTTTGTTTTGTTGTTTTTTCCAGATGAATCTACTCCTGGTGAAGATACTGTGAAGATGGTTGAAATGACAACAAAGGACTTAGAATATCACATAAAATTAGTTGATAAAGCAACAGCCGCAGTTTGAGAAGCTGGATTCCAGTTTTGAAAGAAGTTCTACTCTGGATGAAATACTATCAAATAGCATCGCCTGCTACAGAGAAATCACTTGTGACAGGAAGAATCAATCCCAGTGGCAAACTTTATTGTTGTCTTATTTTAAGAAATTGCCTACAGCAAACCACCCTGATCAGTCAGCAGCCATCAACATGGGGACAAGACCCTCCAACTTACTTAAAAGATAACCACGATGTGAAATCCCAGATAATGATCAGCATATGTCAGCATATTTTTTTAATGTTTTATTTATTTTTGAGAGAGTGTGAGCAGGGGAGGGGGAAAGAGCAAGAGAGGGGCAAAGGATCTGAAGCGGGGCTGGAACTCGCCAACTGTGAGTTCATGACCTGAGCTGAAGTCAAATGCTCAACCAACTGAGCCACCTAAGCACCCTGCAATGAAGTATCTTTTAATTAAGGTATGTACATTGTATTTTTAGACATGATGCTCTTGCGCAGTTACAAGACCACAATATAGTGCAACATGCCTTTATACGAACTGGGAAACCAAAAAGTTCATTTGGCTTGCTTTATTGTGTTATTTGTTCATTTCATTGCCATGGTCTAGAACCAAACTCACAATATCTCTGAAGTTGGCCCATATTTCTTTACAAATTTGTTTACCATTTTTAGGGCCTAGGTATTGTCATTCTTGAATATTTTTAAGCTAAAGTGAACCAGAATTAATTTTGTTTTCAAAATGCTTAGTTTAATTAGATATTTTGAGATAATTAAGAGTATTACAGTATCAGGATTAGAAATTATGACCTTAGAAAAAAGAATGTTTGCTCATTATCACGACTTGAGATTTCTGCTAAGTTTCAGTGTATTTACCAATTGAAAAAAAAACACAGTTAACTTAAAAAAAAAAAAGACATTTGATCAAAATAGTGGATCAAAGCCTTCCATTGTTTAGTTGTCCAGTCTTTGGCTGTCAAGTTTTATTTAACTTGTAAAAAACAAGAAGGAAACTTACCACCCTAACTTGGAGTGCTAATGATCTTCCTATACTCTAGATTTTAGAAGGTTGATTTTTAAACTTTTTTTTAATTAAAAAAATTAAAAAGGTTTTTGTCAATTTCTTTAAGTGACAAAAGACTCTAAAAGGAAAGTTATTTCCACAAAGTCAGGAGGCTCTCCAAATGAAATTGTGACAGTAGAACGATCAGGATGAGAGGAAAAAGGCAGGGATGACCAAAGAGTTCAGGGAGCTTTTCGAATGGAACAATAAAACCAGACCAGCTTTCTTGGCTGGGGCAGTTGCATCATGTTTTCTAACATCTGATTTCACAAAGTGTCTATGTTTGTTTCCTTGTTTATTCTTTATGTTGTTCTCAAAAGTACTTGAAGCAGCTTACATAAACATATATAAAATGACATGTTAAACAAGTGTGTGGGGGAGAGAAAGTCAGGGGCACACAGGAAGGAAACTAAGGAAGGCACCTTGGGAAGGGTGTGGGAAGCTGGGACATCACCTTTGTACATTTGTCTCTGAGCTTTCCAGGTACCCGGGTGGAGACAGAAGTACTCTTGGTGTAATAAGAATATAAGCTCATTGAGGTTAGAGAGCACATTTTATTCACTACCATCATTCTGGGACACAGCAATCTGCCTTAAAACAGGCATTTGATAAATATTTATCAAAAGGATACAATTTACAGTGTCTCTAAGATTAAAAATAACAGCAGTGGTCTATGGAAACACAACTTCTTTCAGTATTCAGAAATTTCCTCCTGGTCTTCATAAGAAGGCACTGTAGATACAGGGGCTAACATTCTTGATAACATTTTGAAGAATAATGGGGCATATTTTATGGGGGGGGGCTTTCATTTATTTGTTTATTCATTATTAATTTGTTCATTGAGGAAACATGTCTTGACCCAAGTTTTCCCAAGACGCAGGGATGCAAAAAGTGCCTATAGAAGACAAGAGTGTAATTAAATATGGGAAAGTGTTATAGGTTGTACAATACAGTCTTCTTGGAGAGTACTGCTAGTACTCAACACCCACAAGAACATGTAACACAGAGTAGGGACTTGCTATGTATTTGTTGAGTGGATTAAGGAAGAGTTCATCAGACAGGTGGAAGAGAAGAGAGTTCTAATCAGAAGGGAACAGGATAGGCAAGGATTTGGAAAAATGCTACAGGTGGCCTAGGGGAGAGAATGATGTATATGGGTGTGGGGAGGGCTAGGGGCACTTGCTGAGAGGTTAGTCTGTTGAAATAAACCCGAGTCCTATCTGGAATGCTAGCAGAGGGAGTTTTATCTTGTATTATGATTTTTTTTTTTAAAATTTCATCAAAAAATGGTCTTCAGCTAAAGTCAGGATAGAAGAGAAACCTAATGTGGGTATTCCACCGACTCATTTGACACGTTCTCTTTCCTAATATCCCCAATTATCCTCTGAAGCATTGTTCCTGTTTTTCCGTATGGGAAGCCAAAGCTCAGAGATTTGAGTGATTTGCCCAAGCACAAATCATCTTCTATGAAAGACAATTCCCACTCTTCTTAATTCAATGAAATCCTCATTCTGAAAACTGCCAGTGGGGGAGAGCTGGCTCCTGCTCTTGTGTCCAGGTTTGTTGTATTGTGGAGGACCGGTCCTAAGTCTGCACTCAGCCACCTAGCCTCCTCATTTAGCCTTGGGGGCACAGAGAACAATTGAGCATCATAACAAAGGGGTAACCTCTAGGGTCCAAACGTAGAAACATAACCCGTTAATTATTGAGAATTGCCTTTGGCAGTGAGACTCCAAGCAGATCTCTCTTGGCTTACCTCTGGCCATCTTTCATGTGACCTAGACCATCTTTGACTCCTACCACCAAAAAGACTTTTAGATGCTAAGATTCCTGCTCAAGAGAGTGGACGCCCATAGAGAAAGTGGTTGTTTCATAGTCTGTCTACTGAAGGTTGTCCTGTATTCAAGGTATTTAATGTGCTTAGGTTTCTGTCTGCTACCTGGTAGATGCTCATGGATATCAGCTGTTATTTTTGACCTCAGTTCACATTTTTGAAAATCCAGCTTTCCCACAGGATCAAACCTGAGATACCATGCTTAGGTTTGTGGCCTTGCAGATTCAGTGTGATAATCATATCAACATAAAAATAGATTCAATATCCACCTAAAGGATAGGCAATGGAGTGGTTTTATTACAGGGTATTACAAGTTGGGGTTGGTGCCTGAGTATGTCTGTTTCTCCTCATCTCTTGGCCTTTCACCAGAAAAGAGTGTGAAGGGAAAAAGAGGCCCTCTGCCCAAATCCGTGGAGATGATAAGAACCCAGCAGCTTTTTAGGCGTCTTCCTGGTGCATGGACAATTGTTCAGGCTGCTGAAAGAACCTGAGGAAGCTGCACGGGTGCCTGGGTGGCTCAGTCGGTTAAGCATCCAGCTCTTGATTTGGGCTCAGGTCACGATCTTGTGGTTTGTGAGTTCAAGCCCCATGTTGGGCTCTGCACTGACAGCACAGAGCCTGCTTGGGATTCTCTGCCCCTCCGCAGCTCATGCTCTCTCTCAAAATAAATAAACTTAAAAAAAGTATTTGGAAATATTTTAAGAATCATGCAAAATTAGGGGAGTGGCAAATGACAAGCAAATGGTCCAGTTTTCTAAAGAAAGGAAACATGTTTTGACCCCTGGAGAGTAAGTTTCATTGCATTTATCAGTAAGAGTCTAATGGAGATTCTCAAAAAGAGGAAACACACACCCCACTAAAATCCATCCCTCCAGGTTTCACAAAGAACAGGCCATGCCAGATCAGGGCGCTTTCTTCTGGGACAGATTACCAGTTGGATGGCTCAGAAGGTCATGGACTTGTATCTCAGCCAAGTGTCCTAATACAAATTGATTTTTATTTTATTTTAGTGCCTGTTGCATGTCAAGCACTGTGATAAGCACTGGGGATAATGGGGCTAAAGCAGTTTAGTTTCATGACGTGAGAAGTACTCTGTGATATCAAATAGATGCACACAAATGAATGGTGGAAATAATTAGATTGCTTACTCATAATTGATTTAATAAACACATTTTTATAATGATGCTTATGCATTTTTGGATAAACCAGAAATGGTGAGAAAATGTCATTAGTTGATGGACCTAATCCAGAAAGATGATTTTTGTGTGTGACAAAGACCAAAATTGAGATGAATTATAACAATGACAAAGTTCCACACTCCTTCCTGCTTACTTAAAAAAATCTAGTTGTTTGTATGTGTGTATGTTTGTTAATGTGTGTGTGTTACAGATTTAGTATTGATGCATAGATGTCTACCATAAACCTTTGGGATATAAATAAAATAAATAAAATCTTCATGAAGAAATTCCTCCTCCTCTCCAAAGAGCAGTGTTGGTGTCTACGACCACAACTACACAACCACAACTACACAACCACACTGACGCTGGGAGAGGGGTGGGCTGGGAAGGAGGAGAATGTGTCCAGGTTGGCCCAAAGCTCATTATTAAACCTCTGTGTACTTCATTCTAGTGAATCATTTATTTTTTCCCACTAGGGCATGAATTCCTCAAGGTCAGGGCCTATGTACTGTAACCTTAATGTCTGGCAAAATGCCTGGGCCCTCACAAGTTCTCAATAAGCACTTCTTCAAGATGTATTTTCCCCCCCCACCCCCCCCAAAACCCTTAATTTGATCTGATATTGCATTAATTACCAAATAGCATCTGTATTAGTCTCTTATTGTTGCTGCAACAAATGAATAAAAAATTGGTGACTTAAAAGAATACAAATTTACTATCCCTACAATTCCAGAGGTAGAAACCTCCCAAATCAAGGTGTTGGTAAAGCTATGTTTCTTCCTTAGTGGGGGAGGGGCCCAGGGGGAATCTGTTCTTTCCTCTTCCAGGCACTAGAAGCCAGCCACATTACTTGGCTTGTGACCCCTTCAAACCAGCAACTCTTTGACTCTTTTTCTTGCCACGTTCCTTTCTCTTCCTACTCTGTTAGAAGAGATTCTCTACTTTAAAGGGTTCATGTGATTAGATTGGGCCTACCTGTGTAATCCAGGATATTGCCACATAACCTATTCACAGATTATGTGATTACAGTTAGGATTAGGGTGTGGACATCTTTGGGAGACTATTATTCTGCTTATCACAGCCTCCAAATCAGAAAGGTGGTGGTATTCAGGTGCTAGGCTCTATGCAGAAGATTATACTATGCCTCACTTTAATCAAATCCTTGAAGATTGTAGCAAAGAACCAGAATAACAGGGAAATTTGGAGTTGTGCCAACCTAAGGGATGTTTAAAAGAATAGGATGTTTAGCTTAGAAGAAAAAGACCTCAATTTAGGGGTCCAGTAGCAGTTCTGGTTTGAGGAGGCTTGAGATGACTGCTTCTTCATCAGAAAAATACCAGGAAATTCTGTCACATGACAGAAGATTGCACACCTGTGCTATGCAATCTCAGAGGACCAAATAGGATTAATACTGGAAACTTTTGGAAAGCAGCTTTTGGCAGAACTTAAGGTTGGGCCGTGTGGACATTCCTGATGTCTTTCAAGACAGCAGGCTAGAGATGGCATGGCTCCATGCCGTGGGGGTTCTTACAAAAGAGATTTGAGCATTAGATAAGGAATCAGCTGAGGTGTTGTGTTGAATTCCATTTAGCCCTCGCAGCCACTGATTCTGTGACCTAGAATTCCATTCATGACCTTCGGGTACCTCTGACTACATATAGCCAGAACTGGCGAAGGCCCTGCCTCCCTACTGAAGAGTCATCTTTTGCCCTCCGTGAATCTGTATTTAAGGATCTGTCCCATACCAAGCAGAAGTGGTGAAGGAAGCTGGTAGAGCTGATGCCTCTTCAGAAGATGCACTAACTCACATTATTGTTGAGAATATATATTTAGAAGGAAAAACCAAAAACAGTAGCCATAGAGACAGTACAAAGTTTAAAATGCTACACAAGTACTTAAAAATACTCTCTTGTATACTCAGACATGAAAAGAAAACAACAATAGAGATAAGGCATGGAGAAAGTATAGATTCATGAGGTGGTTTATATCAGAATCCAGGATGTTTTGACGAAGTTGAACATTTAAAACGAAGGAAACAAAAATAAAGAGTAGACCAGATTCTTTCATCTTAATCCAGACAACAATATACTTTGGGACTCTGTTTTTCTTCGGTTCACTTTAGGGATGGTTATTTGGAGTAACTTGTACAAGATATTGGAGCTGCTGTAGAAAGTGCTGTGTTTTTTTTTTTTTTCAACGTTTATTTATTTTTGGGACAGAGAGAGACAGAGCATGAACGGGGGAGGGGCAGAGAGAGAGGGAGACACAGAATCGGAAACAGGCTCCAGGCTCCGAGCCATCAGCCCAGAGCCTGACGCGGGGCTCGAACTCACGGACCGTGAGATCATGACCTGGCTGAAGTCGGACGCTTAACCGACTGCGCCACCCAGGCGCCCCTAGAAAGTGCTGTTTTTATGTCAATAGTGTGGGTAGCATGAAGGTACTTTTTTGTACTTTAAATAGCCTATGTTACTTTTTTCTTGATCTTTTAAGTATACATCTGAATGTCTAGGTTATACACTTGAGCTGTACTCCATGATACGTTAGACCACTTGACCGGCAGATTATTTTGTATCCCTAAAGTATCCAAAAGGAATTAAGAAATTAATTACAACTTTAATTATATCCAAGAAAACTCTTTGTGGTTCCTTATAGCTGTTCTTTATCTGTCTTCAAAGAGAGTCTTAAGTGTCTTTGGCTTTGGTGTTGTAATGGTCATTCTAGACTGAGGAGCTTGTTCAGACACTTAAGACTTTGGGCCAATACTGCCAATGACTTCATACCACTTCATCTTCTTTCCACTTCTATGGATTACCCAACAGCAAAAATGGTCATTCTAGCCAGCCCCTGATATTCCTCTCTACAGTCAGGGGAAGGTCAGCTATTTTTTGATCCCCACGGGAGAGAGACAGCTCCTCAATCAGTATCCTAAAATAGCTGGCCATTCTCAGCTGCTGGGCTGGAGTCCCTCCAGGGGAGAGCCAAGGGGATACAAATCCACCCACTGGGTGCGAGTGAGAAGTCACCAAAACATGAGCTAGGAGAGGCTTCTAAAGAAGATCCTGCCTACTCGAAAAATCTTTCTTATTTTTCTTATTTTTTTTTTTTAATTGAGAAGCTACGTGTCTGCCATTTTTTTAATTTCTAAGTTTATTTAAAGGGAAACCAGTGGCTTGAAGATGAGACTAAATATTGCTATCTTCTTTGGGGCTCTCTTTGGTGCTTTGGGGGTTTTACTCTTTTTGGTGGCTTTTGGATCGGATTACTGGCTTCTTGCAACTGAAGTGGGGAAGTGTTCAGGTGAACAGAATGTGCGTTTCTTCTTCCAAATACTGATGTACTTGGTAGGGATGAGGGTAGCCTTATGTATCCTCTTGAAATCAGAGAATAGTGGTGGAGTGCCTATTTCTTCACAGAAGAGATAGGTAGCAAGCTACTGACCATCATTATTTGGGATAAAACCCATTGTTGTAATATTTTCCTGGATGTGATAATTTAGGTTATGTGCTTTGTGTTGATGGCAAATTACTTTCTTTGTGTTCTGTACAGATAGAGAATGTCACTTTCCACCATGAAGGATTCTTCTGGAGATGTTGGTTTAATGGGATTGCGGAAGAGAATGATTCCAGTATCTGGAAGTTCTGGTACAGTAAGTGCAATTTAGCTTTATTTCCCCTCGTCATTAAAATAAGAATGAGCAGCTTCTTATTTAGTATAGATCACTTACAAGATAGGATTGGATTCTTAACTGTAGAATCCTGATAGAATGTCTTCAAAAGATTCATGAAGTGATTCTTTTTCAGTAAGTAGAAATGGCTATATGAATAATTATTTTATTTTCTAACCTAAAATAGGGGTCTGAATATTTATGGCAAAACTGAATTATCTTCTGTTTCCTTGCTCATATTTAAAATACACTTACCCTAACAACAACAAAAAACTAGGTATTAACTATAGTATTTTTCTTGTCTATTATTGCTGTGTCTGTTATTGGTGTGTTGCAAATAAATTAGTTTTATTTTTGGCTATCAACCCTTTAAATGTCAAATTTAAAAATTAAGATATAGAGATCAGATATTTTATATTGGTGGCTTTAAAGTTAAAAAATATCTTTTTTTTTTTTTTTTTTTTTTTTTTTAATCAAACTTACCAGCGGCGGTGGATGAAAGCACACTGTTTGGGCTTTAACCAAGGTAGTGGGAATTATCAAGAAATGCCTGGCTTCTGATGTCTGTGTTCTCTCATAGAAACTTGAGAGTTCCTTTTTGATGTAGAATAGCTTCTTAAAAATACAGTACATTCTTTTCACTGTATTTCCTATATTATATTAATCTCTGAAAGTAAATTCATTGAAAATAACTAGCTTTTATCTTATTGCATTCAACAATAAAAGAACTATTTATTACCCTCAAGGTTATTGTAGGTTGAAATTATTAGTCTCCTTATCCAATACTCCTGTGATATATCAAAATATGGCATTTACACACTAGTCAAGATTATATGATAAAATAATATACAATAAAGAGATGAGATCTTGGAAGACGTAAGCAAGCTGACAGCAAGTTGGCATATGTGAAAGGAAGAAAGTAATGATGAAATGGGATTTTGCAAGAAATAGTTGGTAGCTATCTTGTAGTCCTTTTGGAGAGGAGAATGAGCATGGAATCTGCCAATGAAAAGCATTCAGACTCTGGCAGAGTAAGTCAGACTGTGCAAGAGGAAGATTTTGCCAAGGACTTAGAGAAAGAAAGAATATTTCACTCCTCCTTAAAGGGTACACAGTGAAAGCTTCAAGTTTTCCAACAACATAAAAGTTTTTTTCTTGTGTTTTCTCCAAATACTAAAAATGCATTTAAATTATTAGCTTGTATGACCTATCATTTCCAGCTTTTCCCTAAAAATAGAATATAGAATACATTTTATATTAATCAGAGCTGACAATGGGTAAATCTAAGTTTATTAGAGTTTTAAAACAATTACTTTTTGAATACTATGTGCTAGGCATCATGTTGGGAACTGGAGAATATGGCTGTGAAAATAAATGAAGTGTAGTGCCTTTAATCTTAAGGTGATATTAGGGGCATTCCCAGCATTGAACTATGTCATGAACTAGATGTTTTGGATGAATCTACTTTCCAGGTCCCCTGAGCTGCTTGATGTGAGTTCCGCCCGCCCCCCCCCCCCCCACACTCATCAGTTCTCTGAATCTGTTGCTCCCACCCACAGTTTATTTAGCTTGTGTGTCCCAGGTCCTGTATGTCTCTTGTTAGGAAGTCTTCACTCAGCATCTCAATAACAACTACCATCATTTGCTCTCCTTCCTAGCCAATCAGCCACCGTCCAAGAACTGCATGCACGCTTACCTGTCACCATATCCCTTCACAAGAGGGGAACACAATTCAACCTCCTATGACTCTGCTGTTAGTAAGTACCTTTGTCTAGAGAATGCCTCCAAGAAAGACTTGCTTTTCTGAAAAAAAACTAATTTCACATATATCATTTCAACATTTTCTCTGGAATGAATCTGTTATTAAATAATAAAATACCATTTTTAATACAATATTTATAACTCTAATAGAATATAGCTCAGAGTTAAAAGTAAAGCCATTGTAACTTACTTGCTGCTTATAAAGATTTTTTTTTAAGTGTGTCTTCTGGTGTGGAAATAATGATGTTTATTAGGAATAACTGCTTCTTGTGGGTTTGACAGACCTAAAGCTAGTCTTATAATGGGAAATATTATAATCCACACCCTGCTTTAAAAACATTGTTTTTGTAATTGTTACACATAAGAATATGATTATGCTACTGGTTTCCTGCAAAATGACTGGACTTCCTTATATGTGATATCTCAACGAAGAATAGTCAGATGTCATTAACTGAGAGTCGTGATTACCGAGTTCCTTGGTATTTACATCCTCTTTGTCCTATGGAAGGTACACAAACTTAGTTGGTATGGAAAATATATCATATATACTTAAATGTAGTTTTATACAAAGTACAAAAGCTCAATATGTCAACTTGATTCTCAGCTGGTTTCATGAAGTTTTTAACAAAGGGTGTTTCTTGTAATCTTAAAACTAAGAATTGGTTCGTTATTTACCAATGTCATAAATAAAGACAAAAAATATTTGTTTTTTTTTTCAAAGACAGTAAGCAGCATATTTACTTTTCTGAATAAACTTATATTAGTAGTCCCCAGAGAATCAATAGGAGATATATAGGTAGGGTGGGGGTTGGGAAGAGAGAATGATGGATGGATGGATTGATGGAGAGATTTTAAAGAATGGGCTTATGTGATTGTGGAGGCTGGCAAGTCTAAAATCTATAGGGCAAGATTTCAGGCTGGATAAGAGTTGCTGTTGTAGTCTTGAATCTGAAGCCTAGAAACTCTGGTAGAAGTTTTTCTTTAGGTAACCTCAGTCTTTATTCTTAAGGCCTTCAACTGATTAGATGAGGCCCACCCCCATTATGGGTAGTTTAACCACATTAATGCATAAAATTAACCATTGCAAATTATATGCCTTATAATTTTAAGTTTGTCAAAGGATGTAGCATTTGCTCATATCACACAATTAACATGACACTTTATGGAGTGGAAGTGGGGTCTGAATAGCAAATGAGATAAGCTGTCATACAGCCATGCTTATCCATCATAGTCGCTTGTGCTTAAAAGGGCTCTGGCTTTTGGCCTTGAGAACGAGCGGTGTGAATGTTCCTTCCCATTAATAACTGCAAAAGGCGCTTCCATTTGTCAAAGCATTTTGCATTGTGTGACATGGACCTTTTCACTGATAAGAGACGAGATGACATAGGAAAGTGTATAAACTATTCTGTCTCACAAAAAGTTGCAAAAAAGGTATCCCTTCCCTGACATTCTTACTTTTGTAAAATTGACCAAGAAGTAGCAGAGTAGAACAGGGTTGACTTTCCACAACATTAGGTGTTTGCATAGCTATTAGTGTTCTGTTGATAACTCATGTATATGTTCAGGTCCTGTGATGATCGGATAGGTATCATGGGCACTATATATGTTTAAATGAATCTACATATTTGAAGAGTCTGTAACTCAAGGAATTAGTGGAGAACTTTAAACACAAGGTGACATGATCTAAACATAATAATTATGATGGAGGTGGAGTGTATGTGCATGCCCCCAAAATTATACTGCAATTACAGTTAGAATCATTATGTAGCACTGCATATAATTACTGTGTCATTTTTGGATCTAATGACAAAACCATATTCCAATTTTTTTTTGTTTTAAATGATCACACTCCCCTTGGCTCACATATTGTAACTCCCTATTCACTTTAAGCAGCTTTATCAAACATTTTAGCAAACATGACCAAGACGGGAGGAAGGATGTCCTACAAAGAAACAGCTTATACACATTTCATTTACATTCATAATAACATACAATGGTATCTGACATTATATTTGGGTGATTTTTTTTTTATGGTTCCCTTATCTAAGAGAAGGGCCATCGATATCATGAGAAGGGTTTTATCTGACTGAAAAGTGAGTGTTTCCTAGTTAGTGAGGCTGTCTAGTCTTCACCAGACCCCGTATGTACTCTTGGGTTTCATATAGCCTCATAATTATCAGGCATTATACATTTGCCAATTTATCTTGGGTAAATTCAGTCTTGTTTGTAAAAATTGGATGCATTCCAGCCTGGCAAATATAATTGGTAAAATAGCTTTGTATTTTCCTTAGTTTTTGCAGTTACAGTTAGCCAGTGTTGAAATCAGTGAAAATAATATAGCAGTGTTTGATTGTTCTGGAAAGACTATTTTACAATCATTGAATGCTACTGATGAAATTGTTCTATTTCATAATATGGAGACTGAAACTCAGAGGAACCTTGTGACTCGGTTTTCACACAGCTGATCCTTGGCAGAACTAATGCAAAGGTCCAAGTCTCTGCATTTTATTTATTGATAATCTTATTATAAACTACAGTGAATGAAAAGACAAATCTTAGTATTTGCCGTTAAATCTTTCTAAGCATGAGTTTTTTAGTTGGATCTCAACAAAAGAGCAATTTTAAATTTATGTTGCCTTTCTCTCCTTTTCTATCTGATCCTGACCTGTGTATACAGTCAGGTCTAATTCAGTGTTTCCTTTATTTATTTATTTTTTGTCTCAAGTACACATTCTAAAATTCAATTATGCTCAACTTTAGTTTGAATGGTTGCCCAAGCCTAGAGAAGTTTTGAGGTAGGATTGTATACTTTGACTTCCTTTATTTTTTTAAATATTTTTTTAATGTTTATTTATTTTTGAAGGAGACAGAGACAGAGTGTGAGCAGGGAAGGGGCAGAAGAGAGGGAGACACAGAACCTGAAGAAGGCTCCAGGCTCTGAGCTGTCAGCACAGAGCCCGATGTGAGGCTCGAACCCATGAGCTGTGAGATCATGACCTGACTTGAAGTCAGATGCTTAACTGATTAAGCCACCCAGACGCCCCACTTTGACATCCTTTAAACAATTCTATTGCCTTTTGATATCTGTCAGAATTTAGATTTTCTGGTTTGCTTCATGATTAAACTCAATAACAGTTCATTTATTTGGTATCATTTGGTGATGATGTATAGAACATAGATTAATTTTCAAGATAATTCAGCCCTTGAGTGAATTAATAATTTTCTTGCCATCCCCATAGCCTTTGGCCACACCTATATCAAAGTGCTCATTGCATGTAACTGCAATTGTTCACCTTAGTTTCTTTATTATTTGTTGGAGCTCCCTAGAGACACAGGATGTAACATACTCATATTTATACCCCCAGAACCTAGTATAGTGAGTGGTACTTAGTAAGTGCTTAAATATTTCTATGGAATGACTAAGTGCAAAAATTCCTTGGCCTTCTTATTCAGCAGAATATATTGAACATGATGTGTCCCTTCCTTCATGAGTTGGAACAAATGCATACATGATGGCCTTCTTTGAGTTCTTCAGAATCAGTGTTTGCCCTCCTGCGTTAGGGCCTTTGTACCTGCCGTCCCTCCTCCCCAAATGCTGTTCCTCTTTTCCCAACCCCTCCTCCCTTCACTTCTCTAACAAAGCAGGCCCATTCTCTGAGCTAATACATACTTCAGTCTTCTTTCTTTGTTTTTTTTTTTTTAATTTTTTTTAAATGTTTATTTTTTGAGAAAGAGAGCATGAGCAGGGGAGGAGCAGAGAGAGAGGGAGACACAGAAACCAAAGCAGGTTCCAAGCTCTGAGCTGTCAACACAGAGCCCAACATGGGGCTCAAACTCATAGACCACAAGATCATGACCTGAGCCAAAGTCGGATGCTTAACCAACTGAGCCACCCTAGGGGCCCCATACATCAGTTTTCTAAGGAAGCCTTCCATAGAGGTAGTTTTTGATATCAGATATAATCTTTAAGAAAAAAATCATAGAAAAGGAGGTGGTAAAATATCAATTATATTTAGGAGGAGAAAAAATAAGCAAAGGCAGCCCACAAAGGAGAAAGAGAAAGAAGCCTTGAGAAAGCAGCTGATGAGCAGGCTGTCAACACTGTTCCAGGGGCCTGTGGGTAGACAGGAAGAGTCTTGGGAAGGAGGTGGTGTCCCTCAGTGACAAATGCAGAAGCAGAAAGAACTGGATAATACTGATAATGCAGGGGTTCCCATGGCCACTCATAGCTGTGCCTACTGAAGGCTCAGCTACAGAGGCCCTCAAAGGCTCTTTGCAGGCATCTCTTTCTAAATTTTTTTTTTCAACGTCCATTTATTTTTGGGACAGAGAGAGACAGAGCATGAACAGGGGAGGGGCAGAGAGAGAGGGAGACACAGAATCGGAAACAGGCTCCAGGCTCTGAGCCATCAGCCCAGAGCCCGACGCAGGGCTCGAACTCACGGACCACGAGATCGTGACCTGGTTTAAGTCAGACACTCAACCGACTGCGCCACCCAGGCGCCCCAATCTCTTTCTAAATGTAAACCCACAATGCCCTGCTGGTTTGGCCTGAGACCTGAGGCCTTCTGCTCTGTATCCCATTCCTGCTCACTGCCTGTTCCCTCAGACGGGACCTGAGGGCCCTGCCCTCTTTCCTGGCAATGCCCTTCCTCCTCCAGGAACCGTTCCATTTTCCTGCACATTTTGTCACCCAACAGTCCTCCTGAGGGCCTAGCCCTATCCCAGGCTTCTTCCTCCTTCACTTGTCCCAGGAGAAGAGGTGAGAAAGCAGTGATGCTCATAAAGGGGCAGAGCCACAGAATGATGGGGGCATGAAACCTCATACAGGGTGGTTAGGGGATGGGCAATGAACAAGTTGAGACCTTTGTGAGGAGCCAGCACTTGGACTTGGAGTAGCTCCCAAGAGTACACATTTACAGAGAATACTAAGTCCTTATAAAAACAGTCACACACACACACACACACACACACACACACACACACACACACACAC